TTCTCCCCCCCTCCCTCTCCTCCTCCTCCTCCTTCTTCTTCTTCTTCTTCCTCTTCTTTCTCCTCCCATCAAACGGAACCAGAAAGGTTAGAATGGAGGCGGAAAAAGATGAGAAATTTCCAGCCCATTGCAGGAACTCTGAGCTAATTCTCCACTCTTGATCTGGTATTAAACGCCTCCAAGTTTCATCTTAAGGAGCTGGTCAGAAACGAGCATCGTCCGGCAGGGGACTGAGGCCAAAACCTAGAGATGGAGAGAAGGACATGGATGGCGACCTCAACAGCGCCGTCAGAAAGCAACCAGAAGGACGGGAAACCAAAGAACGAGATGGTTGCACCCTGCCTTGGAAAGCTCCCGGGAGAAATTTCTCTGGCCTGTTTCTTTTTTTCTTTTCTGCAGCTGAGGTCAGCTTGTCCTTCGCTCTTGCGGTAATGAATCCCCCGTTTTGGGGGGAAAAGCTGTCACTTTGGGGGGTGTGGGGGAGAGAAAGGTTATCTCTCCTTGTTATTGATAAGCAAAACTCTAGATGAGGAGGCTGAGTGGTGGATTGGAGGAGCTACCGTCATGCCAGGACCACGACAGACTTCTTGGGTGTGTTTTTAAACACACACACACACACACACACACAACATACACACAGAGGTATTACTACTCCCCCCCCCCCCCTCAATCTCCTTTTCCAATCTATAGATATAAAAAGCGAAGATAGCCCTCAGGCATCTTCACAAAATGAAAAAAAAAGCACTTCTTTATGGGTTGCAATTTCCTTGTTTCCTGATTGTAACAGTCCTAGCCAACTTTTGGCCCTAAAAAGGCATCAAAACATTGTCAGGAACCACCGCACCGTGGCATCCTGTAACCAACAGCTGCTTTCCACGTGTTGTCACCAAATAAGGGCTACTCCCTCCTTCCGCGGGCGGCCTTTCTGGATGTTATTAAAGTTATTAACTGTGATTCACATTGTCCCATTCAATTATGGGAATTTAGGAGGAGGAAGAGGACGCAAGTTTGAGGTATAAAGCCCCGAGGGACACTTATTCTATAGATCCTGTATCTTGTTACACAGCTAGTTCTCAACTCACGATTATAACTGAAACTGGAATTACGGCTGTGAGTCACACTTCAGGAGAATATTTGTAGGTTAAAGGAGGGATCCTTGGTACTTTCTGAGCTCAACTGCTTTCTTGCAAGAGGTTTCATTACCCAACTAGGCAACATCATCAGTACTAAAAGGAAGTGGGGTTTGTGGAGCAGAGGAGGAGGAAGAGGTGGTGGTGAAGGAGGAGAACTATGGGATGCTTGGTTCTCTGAGCTTCCTGGTGTTCTTGTAGACGTTTCATTACCCAGCTAGGTAACATCCTCAGTGCCAGAGTAGTAGAGTGACATGCAGCTGTTAGTCACCACTGTTCTAAATTTGGGGTCTGTTGACGTTGGATGGAGCATGCTAAGACATAAGAAGCCCAAAGAGCAGGACCGAGTAGCATCTCCAGGAGAAATCTAAGCAGCATTCGAGAATTATTTCCCCTTGTTCCTCTGCTTTTTCTTCTGTCTAGCTTCCCACTTGCCAGCAGAGTAAATATTAATGATTTTCAAAGTGATTGAAAACATTCGCTGGAGAGAGAGGTTGGGGAAAATCCCATTAAACGCTCAAGAAATCTTTTTTTCCCCTCTCCCACCACTGGAAATGTCAAATGCTTCTTTGTTTTTTTTTTATTTTTTATAAATAACATATAATCACCCACAACAAGCCATATAAAAAGCCTTTTAGTTGTGTTTCTCTCTCTCTATCTTTGCATTTAAGTGTTTTGAAATGCTTCAGAGAATTTGCGATACCCTTATCAGCGTGATAAAATATGAAAGCTGTTGATAGCTAGCAGCGTGTATATATATATATATATATATATATATTTTATTATTATTATTTTTTGGCGGGATGTGAATTCCATCTTGGCTGATGAAGTCTGATAAGGCACCGCTGTATTATACAGTCCATAATCTCCAACCACCAGTGTAAGGATTAATTTATTTGGGGCAGGGAAGGGAGAGAGGGGTGAGGGAGAAGGAGGGAAGGAAGAAAAGGAGGGGAGAGAGGAGGGTGAAGATTGGAAAGAGGAAAAAAAAAAACACACACCGCCTGGAACAATATTAAAGGACAGGAGACAAAACTTGACAAACTCAACTTCCTTTCACAAAATCTATTTGCAAGGTCAAGTATTGGTAGTTATTCTGATAAGCCTTTTCCTTCCTTCCTTCCTTCCTTCCTTCCTTCCTTGTCTCCCTCTGTCCTGTCTCCTTCCTTCCTGTCTCCATCCCTCTCCCTCCCTTCCTATTTCCTCTCTCCCTCCTGCAAGAAAACAGCACAACTCAGTGCTACTGCATATAATCAGAGAGCAAGCCCCATTCCCTTCTAGCACTGATGATGTTACCTAGCTGGGTAACGAAATGTCTGCCAGAAAACAACTCCCCACAGAGAGCACCCACAGACTTTGCTTGGTTTTATTTCTAAGGAGAAGAAAATTTGGGGGATTAATTGTTCTCACTGTCGGGAAATTTCTTCCTTAGTTCTCAATTTCTTCTCTCCTTGATGAGTTTCCACCCGTTGCTTCTTGTCCTGCCTTCTGAAGGTGCTTTGGAGAATAGCTTGACTCCCTCTTCTTTGGGGCAGTCCCTCAGATATTGGAAGGCTGCAATCATGTCACCCCCTAGTCCTTCTTTTCATCAAACTAGACATACCCCAGTTCCTGGTGAATTGCCCAGGATTCCCAAAGTGAATCAGTCCTCCTGACTTCCGTTTTCTTCTTCCTTTCTCCAGGCCAATGGAGGCTGGCAGGATGCAACCACTCCGTCTTCTGTGACTTCTCCAACAGAAGGGCCGGGAAGCGTGCAGTCCGATACCTCCAACTAATCTCCAGAACGGTCCTTCCTCTTCCCCCTTTCCTGGCCCGCCATGCGCTGAGATGCCTTCTGCGTTCGTTCGTCGTCCCAGGAGGAAAAAGACAAGGAAAAAAAAAAAGGAGGGGAAAAAGAAAAAAAACCCCAAAGAAAACTTTTCACAGCCCACCGCGGAGAATCCTTTTTTTTCCGTACCACTTTGTCGTACTGCAAAACTTGGGTGACCTTGTTTTTTTGGTGTGGTCATTGATATATCTCCAAAAAAAACACAAAAAACCACACACACACACAGTTTTACCTCCCCCGGAAGGTGTGATTTTTAAACCTTTGTACTTCAGTCTCACCGAGAAGTGCGCCCTCGCTCCATATTAAGGGGAAAAATAAACAATAAACAAAGCAAGCACTTTATCCAGCGGAGGCCAAGATGGCGCGTGGTTTTTCTAGCGTTCTCCAGCAGATTCTTTCAAAGGCGGCCACCCACTTGCGGTGTCCTCGGCTCGAAGAGGCCATCCAAGACTTTATTCTTAAGGATAAACTCTAAAAGTTTGATGATCAGCACCAGACTTGAGCGGTGATGTAGGGAGGAGGAGGAGGAGCTGGCAGACTTTCACCCGCACCCAATTTCCAGCGCCTTTGGAAGGGAGATGCCCAAATCTTGGTTGTTGTTTTTTTTCAGAGCAAGGTGAGAAGCTCTTTTTTTTTCAAACCTTTTTTTTTTTTTTGGTTTTCTGCTGAATTTTCTCCTTTCCCCGAGGATGGTTTTCTTCCTTTTGAACCTTCGCAACTGATGATGGCACAGTCCTCTTCTCCTCCTCGTCTGTTGTCCAACACAGACCATCCGTGTGAGGCGGAAGCGCTGGCTTTTGATGTTTGCAAATATATATATATATATATACATATAATATTTTAATTTAGATATATAGATATATATATCTGAATCAGGTTGCCAAGTGTGACAGTCGACGTTGAGTTGCATCTGCCAAGGTTTGGCCATCGCTCCTCCGTGCTGGCCGATGGGTGTTGTATATAGTGTAGCTAAAAAGAATATTTATACATCTCACCAATCAAAACACAGCTTTATTACCTCATGCGAACCAATAGAATCATTCTTTAGCTTAGAGTGCTCACCTACTACCTCTAAACCAGCCTTCTTCAACCTGGGATTCTCAAGATATCATAGACCAATCAGCTTCCACCATCATTGGTCCAGCCATATCTTCTGTCTGGGGCTGATGGGAATTGTAGTCCAACACACCCAGAGGGTGCTGGGTTGAGGAAGCCTGCTCTAAACAATACTCACGCTGTATTTTCTTTTTCTTTTCCACCTTCCCCTTCTTTAATCTCTTCCCTCCTTTATTATGATTATGATTATTATTATTTTTGGAGTGTTTATTTTTACCATCTTGTAACTGACTCTTTTTTTTGTTCTTTCTTCATGTAATTGTACATTGTAATCTTTTAAATAAGGAAAAAAGAAAAAAAAACTTTTTTAAAAAAGAAAAGAAAGACAAAAAAATTCCAGGTTGCGTTTGTGACTTTTGAAAAAAAACAACAACAACACAGACCTGATTCTATATATAAATATAAATAGATATATATATATTAAAACACACACACACACATACATACAAACACACACACACACACACCCCGGACACCCTTTGAATCTTTGAAATAGAAATTTTGAGTTCTGACGCTAAACAGTCAAACTGTCTGTAAATACGGAGAAACATTTTGAATGTTCTTTCATCCTGTTACGATCTTAATTCACGCGAAAGAAAAAGAAGAAGAAAGAAAGAAAGAAAGAAAAGAGAAAAAAAAACCTGAAACCGATAATGGATTGTAAAGCAGACCCGTTCTTTGATATTCAGTATATTTCACCCTGTATAATTAGGGAAAGGGTGGGTGGGTGCCCTTCATTTTTTTCTTTCTTTCCTTTCTTTATTTTTTTATTTTTCTCTTTTATATAGTCTGTGATTCTGAACCTGATTGGCTGAATTGCAAAAGAAAAAGCAAAAAAGAAAAGTGGCAGTGATTCTAATGTATTAAACCGTTTGGTGTTACTTTCTAACTGGATTACACTCTGAACTGAAGTCTTCCCTTGTGGTAGTTCTATGTAGTCTGGAACCATGAATAAACCTTTTCCTTTCATGAGATCAAACGTGGATGCAATTTCTTCTCTCCATCTGAGGGAGTTGGCTAGCCATAGAGGTCAAGTTGCTCCCATCTGGCCTGACAGTAAGCCACGTTGGGTAAAGGAGATGGGCTTTGGAGTCTTCCAAAGATCAGCAACACCCTGGCTAGCTCCCATCCTAACAATAAGCCACGTTGGCCAAAGTAGGTGTTGCTGGTTCTAGATACGCTTCAAGAACTCTTTCCTGAAGAACCTGTGAATTATGATTAAAGGGTTTCTGCTGCTCTACGATAATGGTGGTGATAGTGATGTTGGTGGCGTCTAATCCAGCATGTACTTTGGGTTGTTTACCGCCCTTCAGCCTCATCTACTCCACTTCTATTGTCTCTTGCAGCTTCCTTTAGAAAAAAAGAGCTCTGTTTGAATAATGTCTCCTCTCCTTGAAGAGGAGGATACAAATGCATCTGCTCAATTGGAAACTGCCCAGAACCTGGATGAAGGTCTACAGAACCTACAGAGCCCAATCCCAGCACGTTGACCTGAATCAAACAGGCCCCCCAGCTCAGCTTCTTTCAGCGTCTCCAAGACTTTCTATACCGAAACCTCCGCCTAAAATTTCAGTCTAAAACATTCTCCCCTTGACATGTGTGGAAGGAAGGAAGGTAGAAGAGGAAAGGAAGGAAAGAAATGAGAAGGAAGGAAAGAGAAGGGAAGGAAGCAAGAAAGATGAGAAGAAGGGGAAGGAAGGGAATAAGGGAAGGAAGGAAGGAAGGAAGGATTGTAAAGTGGGGCTAAACTCCCTTCAAAACTGCCTAACTTAGCAAACAGAAATTGGGGTCCCAATCGTCCTAAGTCGAGGACGCCCTGCAAAGAGATGGTTAGATCCCCATCATGCTGAAATCCATGCTATTTTGAGGTGGACTTCCTTGTGCTCGGTGACCTGACCAATCCATTTCCGGCAGTTGATTAATGAGGCAAATGAAAGGAAGGCCTTTGTTTTTTGAAGGGAATACCACTGCCTTGAACCCTTAGCTATTTAGAGATGGGACATCAAAACAGGAAGAGGACTTAAGAGGTGAAACTTCACCCCAGGAGGGGTCATTTCCTATGGTGTTGTGTGGGTCACAGAAAGTTGATGTCTGAGAAGCCACCACAGCAACATCCGAAGTGGCCCAAATTCACCAGAACATCACTTGCATCTCAAATCTAAATTATTTCCTTTGTGGACATTTAAAAAGAAGACGACTTTGGGGTGCCTGTTGCTATATGTGTTTTTGTGTCAGAAATAGGTTTATCTACACTTATTGTGAGTTTTCCTAGACTCTTCCCTTTCTCCTTTATAGACAGGCTTCAATGGAAACCCCCCCCCCCCCCAAAAAAAAGATGTTGAGATCCTAGAAAGAGTCCAGACAAGAACAACAAAGATGATAAAAGATCTGGACGCTAAATCATACGATGAGTGGTTGAGGGAATTAGGAATGTCCAGCCTATTTGAAGAGAAGGACTAGGGAAGACATGATGACTTTCTTTGAATATTTGAGGGGCTCTCGCAGAGAAGGGAGTGGGGACATGGTGGCTCAGTGGCTGAGCTTGTCAATCAGAAAGGTCGGCAGTTCAGCGGTTCGAATCCCTAGCACCACTCCCGTCACAGAGTGAGCTCCCGTTCCTTGTCCCAGCTTCTGCCAACCTAGCAATTCAAATGCATCTAAAAAAAATGCAAGTAGAAAAATGGACCCCTTTGGTGGGAAGGGAACAGCGTTCCATGCGCCTTCGAAGGTGTTTAGTCCTGCCGGCCACATAATCATGGAGACGTCTTCGGACAGCGCTGGCTCTTCAGCTTTGTAACGGAGATGAGCAGCGCCCCCTAGAGCCGGGAACGACTAGCACGGATGTGCAAGGAGGGGAACCTTTCCCTTTGCCACAGCGAAGGGAGGGCTGACTTGTTCTCCAAACTATCTGAAGGCAGGACAGGAAGCAATGGGTGGAAATTCATTCAAGTGACCTCCAACCAAGAACTAAGAGGAGAAATTTCCAGAGTGTAAGAACAATTAATCAACGGAACAGCTTACCTTCCGAAGTTGTGGGATGCTCCATCATTGGAGGTCTTCAAACATACTGAACAACCATTTGACTGGAATGCTGCACAGCTCCTGCCTTGTGAGCAGAGGGTTGGGCTAGACTCCGAGGTCCCTTCCAGCCTTATGACCCTTCTACTTTCTAACGATGAGATTATTTTCTATAAATTCAAAGGCTTCCTCCTATCCCAAACCTACAATTCTGGCATGTTGTGTGAACCAGACATTTCGACAGATCCATTCTAGGAAGCCTTGGGAGGGATTGGGGCTTATTATCAGATAAATGAAGCCATTTACACCAACCAACTTGCCACCATGAGCTGTTGGTCCACAGCAGGCGGAGGTGAAAATGGAAATCCAAGTTTCCTTCGACATCATCCAGCTCATAAATTTTAATTGTTTCTCCATTAAGGTGGAGGGTGAAAACAAAATAAAAACAGAAGAACTGGAAAAATAGCAAACCTGACGAATGCTAAGTAATGGAAGCACAAGCTTTCAGGCAAATAGAGCATCCAAGATAGAGATGGACTCCAGCACAACTTTATAATGACCTTAAAGTTGGAATGACAGAGTGGCCCCAACCCCCCAAAAAGGCTTAATGAGAGAAGAAAAGAAGGAAGTCCCAGTTCACTGGTTGGAAGGACAAATGAACTTCATTCCTTCGTTTTGCAGGCCAGTTTCCCATTAATCCGAGGACTGGAGGAAGCTATGATTTAAAATATATATATATATATAATATTAATACTACTAAGAGAGAGTTGTCCAGTCTCTTGTTAAAAACCTCCAGTGTCAGAGCACTCACAACTTCTGGAGGCAAGTTGTGCCACTGGTTGATTGTTCCTCACTGTTAGGAAGTTTCTCCTTAGTTCTAAGTTGTTTCTCTCCTTGATTACTTTCCACCCATTACTGCTTCTCCTGCCATCAGGGGCTTTGGAGAATAGCTTGACTCCCTCTTCTCTATGGCAGCCCCTCAAATATTGGAAGACTGCTATCCTGTCTCCCCTGGTCCTCCTTTTCACCAGATTAGACATATACCCAGTTCTTGCAACCGTTCTTGGCAGCAATTCAAAGAAGAGAAAGGTGAGTGCTTATCTCGAGAGACTGTTTGGTCCTCACCAGCTGGGAATGCACATAATTCCCAGCATTGAAATAAAATGAGTTGTTTTGACCAAGCATGTGCTTAATTATGGTCTCGGGAAGCCTTTGTCAGAACACATGTTGCCTTTTTTTCAGGGCTGTTTTAACTTTGAACTGTCATTAAACGAGTTGCTGTAAGTCGAGCACTACCTGTACTTTTGCATGAGTTAGAAGACTGGTTGGTAGTCTACTGTTGACCTTGAGGCTCCAAGCCTTGGGTCTCTTCCATCATGGACCATTGACTTTCCCTAGTATGGACCATTTCTCCTGTTGATCCTGCCATCCATAACTCTGTTCTCTTGAGCAAAAACAAAAGAAAACAAGCGGAGGAATAACAGGAAGCCCTTGAAGCAGTCAGTGCCTAGTTTTTCTAAATGGATGCACTGCGACTGTTTGCTCCCATTAATTAGAATAATGCTTATTGTAATTGTGAGCAGTAAGATACTCGAATGTATATTTATGCATCCTAGGTAGTGCTCCAAAAAATGGTTGCCTTCAGATATGGGAGGGAATGGCATTCAAAGAACAAAATGCAGGTGGAACTTAATTTGTGAGATAACCCAAACACACCCATGAATGAAGAATGAATGGAGGAAGGAAGGAAGGAAGACAGGAAGGAAGGGAAGGAAGGAAGGAAGGAAGGAAGGAAGGAAGGAAGGAAGGAGGGAGGGAGGGAGGGAGGGAGGGAGGGAGGGAGGGAGGAAGGAAGGAAGGAAGGAAGGAAGGAAGGAAGGAAGGAAGGAAGGAAGGAAGGAAGGAAGGAAGGAAGGAAGGAAGGAAGGAAATCTATCTACTGGATCCCCTGCATGGATTGTGACTAACCCTTGTGACTATTTAGGACAGACACCACTAGTTTGCAAGAACACCGGTGGGCAATCTGATGAGGAGCTCCAAACTCATTGCTCTCACATTGCAATAAAGAAGGACATACATTCAATTTTGCAGACTACTAAGATTGTTGGCCAGAGAAGGGATTGAAGCCTGGGAAACAGGCAGTCAACGGGAGGGCTGATTTACCCCCAGCTTATCAAGTACTTGGGAGCCAAGGACGTGGCAGCACAAAGAAACAACAGCCAGTGACTATATCTAAAAAGTTACACACAACAGGCACGACATATAAATACCGCACCCAGAACATCCCAATGTAAACAGAGAACTTTCCTGAGGATGAGCTCCAGCATGAACCCAAAAGCTTGGAAGAGAAAATCCTTGGTCCCAATGACCAATAGAGTCTTGGGTTTGCGCCAGGGGTTGGACTAGAAGACCTCCAAAGTTCCTTCTAATCCTCTTACTCTATGTCCCGTCTGAAATTTGAAATAGCATCTTCCCTGATCTTGATTCGTAACCTTCATGCCCTCTTCCTGTAAACGCAGGTTTATTTTAATTCAGGAGAAGAAAGTGCACATTATTCACAGTTTATTAAGATCAAGTACTCACCCATGAAAAGTTTGTTTATTAATCTACCGGGAGTCCTTATTTAAAATAATTTAAAAAAAAAAAAAAAAGACAGAAGCACAATTCCAACAAAGCAACCTATATTTTTTCAAGCTTTTTGTCTCTTCCCCTCCTCAGATTCTCAGGAAAAAAAAGAAAAACGAGGAATCTAAATTCTGAATTTCCTGCTGATGTATTTCCAAGGCGGTGTGGTGTTATTCGTCCCCAAAGA